ATTCTTCTTTTAATTTTTTTAATGTATGAGAGCTGTAAATGGGCCACAAAGTTTAACCAGGTGTTATGAAATCTGCTGCATCTGACACTGTGTCTTTAATACAATGTAATTACCCCAGGGGATGCAATCCAATAAAAGTAGTAACTATAAGCTACTATAGTAACTATATATGGTATATACGAATATTTTTTCTCTTCAGTAGGTAATGGATAAAATATGGTAATTCTTATGGTTTAATAAAAATAATTAGATTTTTGGAAACCACCAGGCGACCCCCCTTCATTGTCCCGCGACCCCTCGGGGGTCCCGACCCCCACTTTGAGAACCATTGACCTACAGCACATGTCTTTGGACTGTGGGTGAACCGGAGCACCCGGAGGAAACCCACTCCAACATGTGGAGAACATGCAAACTCCACACAGAACTGCCAACTGACCCAGCCGGGGCTCGAACCAGCGACCTTCTTGCTGTGATGCGACAGTGCTAACCACTGAGCCACCATGACACCAAAAAAAAACGAACAATTATAAAACCATAAAGGTAAATAGTGTGTTCATGGGACAATTTGTGTAGGCAAGGCCAGTTCATTTATATAACACACTTCATATAAAATGGTCATTTAAAATACTAAAGGTAAAAAAAAAGAGTAAGGCAAGTAAAAGAAATCAAATGAAAACAAAAAATGTGAATAAAACTAATAATAAAAATAATTTTAAAAGATTAAAATGTGTTAAACTATTTTAACAAGATAAAGGTAAATAGTGTGATCAGTTTCACATAGCACAGTGTTTATTCAGGAAGCATTCATTCATTTTCCTTTAGCTTAGTTCCTTTATTCATGAGGGGTTGCTTCAGAGGAAAAACCGCCAACTTATCCCTATGTTTTACATGGCGGATGCCCTTCCAGCTGCAACCCAGTTCTGGGAAACACCCATACATACTCCTCAGCCAATTTAGTTTATTCAATTCACCTATAGCGCATGTCTTTGGGGGAAATTGCACCTGGAGGAAACCCATACCAACACGTGGAGAACATGCAAACTCCTCACAGAGATGCCAACTGGCCCAGCTGGAACTTGAAGCAGCAACCTTCTTGCTGTGAGGCAACAGTGCTACCACTGAACCACCGTGTCGCCCTACTCTGACATTCATTCATTCATTTTCTTCTCAGCTTAGTCCCTTTATTAATCCAGGGTCGCCACAGTGGAATGAACCGCCAACTTATCCAGCAAGTTTTTACGCAGCGGATGCCCTTCCAGCCGCAACCCATCTCTGGGAACTACTCTGACATTTTTAACATAAATATTAAGCCTAAGTGAAATATTAAGTACAGCTAAAGTATGAATTACAGCTGTATTTAAAATCAATGGTGCTTTTAAAAGACCTTGAATCTGCTGTTCACGAAGGAACACTGGAAATCAAATAAAAATTAAAATGTGAATAAAACTAAGAATAAAATTATATAAAAACTGATTAAAATGTGTTAAATAATCATTAAAAGATAAAGGTAAATAGTGTAATGAGTTTTACATCGCAGAGTGCTTATTCAGCAAATAAATAAGAGAAAATGATTGTAATTTTGATTATTCTTTCATATAATCAGGTTAACATTTCTTGTTTTCATTAATACAAATAATCTGGAAAGCAATTCAAAATAAGAAAATCTGAAATTGCCAATATGATAATATCGAGGGATTTACTCTTCAGTGTTTGATCTAAATCTAAAAGCTCCAATATAAATAAACATGATTTAAATTTAATTAAATACCAAATATGCCACATTTCAATAATCAGACTCCATATATTGACAAAAATAACTTTCTATGCATTTTATATGCATATAATTTTTACATAAATAAAAATATACACAAACATTTTCCTAACATGTAAGACCTGAAAACATGAAATATATATGTACATATATTACTGCAACGCATTGTATCTCGACTGCAGCTGGTCCAGAACTTAGCTGCCAGGCTTTTAACAGGCACAAAAAAGGAGAGCACATCACACCTGTACTGGTTTCCCCATATACTGGCAACCAATCCAGTTTAGTTTTCAATACAAAGTACTGTTATATGTTTATAAAGCCCTCCACGGCCTGGCCCCTGAGTATATTTCTGACCTAATTAATACACAGAGATCTCTTCGCTTTAAGGATTAAATCTATTTGCAAGTTGCACAATCACGCTTGAAATGTTGTGATGATAGAGCTTTTTCAGTAGCAGCTCCAAGACTGTAAACAATCTTCCACTCTCCTTAAGAGCATCTCTAACTTTTGAGTGTTTTCTGAGGTCACTGAAAACACACTTCTTTTGCTTGGCTTCTAATCATGTGTTGTGGGTTTATGTACTTTGGTTCCTTGTATGTTTGCATGCATTATATGTTTTTTTTATATGGCACTTTGGTACCCAAAGGACACAGAACACAATTTGTATTTGCAGTTTCCCCCAATGCGTTTGTAAAGGTCGTTTCTGCTTTCACTCACCCCAAAAATGCTCTGTTTGCACGATTTCATTAATTTCATTGTATCCTAATACTTTAGAAATACTATTTTAAGCCTCCTCTGGTGTTTATTATTTTAAGAAAATATCTAAAATGTTTTTTTCAGAGAGGCCTTTGCAAAAGGAAAGTTATAAATGACTTAAAACGGTTTATTTTATGTATTGTATGCACCTACATTGTTCTAGCTTTTGTTTGTTTTTTATTAGTTTATTTATTTAATGTGATTTTATTACATCCGATATTTGTAATTCTTTAAATTATTTCAATATAGCTTAGGCAATTTTATCAAGATATGACACTATTGTTTTGAGCCTACAAAAGTGGACACATCATTTGTAAAGTTTTATGTCTTACTGTTGTATTCATATTTTGTATTCTCTCCAAAATAAATACATAAAGAAAGAAGCCGCTCGCGGCATCAACAGAGCTGTCAAGCGAGCGCTCTTTTGCCCGGCCTCACACACACACACACACACACACACACACACACACACACACACATGCATCTAAACGCGCATGTATCATGCACAAACACACCTTTTAAACTTGACAAAAACTGTCAACAACCTTTACTGGCTACTGTGTCTTTAATATGGTGTAAAGATTATTTTAATGCGTAATTGAAACATAAGGAGGATGCAGCAAAGAATGTCACTTAAAAATTAAAACTTTATTATTTTATGCATCAGCCTTACATTTAAAAGGGAAACATAAGGGCGATCATAAGCAAAAAGACCCCTATCCTATAAGGTGATTTGTGGAATAGCCTATCTTACACTGACCAGCTATATGTTTTTTATCCCTTGTTTATTTATTTGTTTGGCGCATGTACTCATGTGCGATCGGAAAACTAGTGTAATGACAGCATGCCATCTTTACCAGACTCGGGCAAAGTCCGCCTCTTCTTTCACTCCGCCCTAAAGTAGGGCTGGAGTGGGACTCCTTTTCAGCCCTGGAGTTTCAAGCCTTCGACCGGCCGACCTCCGTTCAAGACTGACTATAATAAAATAACGTCATTTCCAATTCAGTTTCTAATGACACTATCACGTCTTTTTCAAGGACACAGCTGCTTTAGAACTTCAAATGTTTTTCATAAATATGAGAACATTAAAGGGTAGCTAAATCTACAACACTATTCTTTAAAACATCACAATGTCCTTTCCTGCAATATTGTCCTTTATGCAAAATTTTTTATAAACATCCAGTCCTTTGTAACTGTGGTCACACAAAAAATAAAAATAAAATGTGTACACTTACATAAGTAACCTAAATAGTCTTAACACTAAAAATGAAAAAAAAAAAAAAAACTACTCAAATGAGATTTGAACTCGGGTCAGTGGCGTCGTTATGCAACATGCTGACCACTGGCCACAATGGCGCTGTTATGCGTTTGGAATATAGAATAAAAACGTATTATTTGCACTGTTATCTGCAAGATACTTAACCACAGTATTACTTTCTATTGATGGCTTAATCTTTTTCTCCGCTTTTTAGATTTCTGATCAAGTTATGTCAGATTTATTAATGTAGTGAATCATCTGATTTTACGGATCCCCCTCCTCAACCACCCTCCTCCCCCTTCAGCTGTTCACTTCGCTTTTATTTTCGCGACTCCCCAACCATCTTCACTTTCGTCCGCAACAACCAATACATATGCTCAGGGGGCTGCGAGAAAATAAATAAAAAGAGCAGAGGTGCGGGAAAAAAATGAATAAAAATAGTGAGGCAATGGTCAAATAAATGAAAGGAGTGCGACTGCTGAAAGTGCAAGCAGCTAGGGAGACCGGCCCAACCAGCCCACCAGGAATCCTCCCGTTCCTCCCGATTAGCCATTCCGGGCCTGCCACGAAGCCCCAGCTGGCCCTCTGTCACCCAAGGTGTTCGGCCTGGCCCCGAGAAAGCCCTGCTTTGGCCTGATCAGACCCCGGCCTTGGCTCGCTCACTTTAGACACGATAGTGGAATCGTGACTACTGTGGTTGGTTAAAAGTGCTCTAGAAATAAGTTGGGTTGAGTTACATGCAGTTGAAATCAGAATTATTAACCCTCCTATTAAATTAATTATTTTATATATTTTTCCTAATTTCTGTTTAAAGGAGAGAAGTAAATAATATTTTACTAGATGTTTATCAAGATACTAGTATTAAGCTTAAAGTGCAGTTTAAAAGCTAGGTTAATTACGCAAGTTAGTGTAATTAAGCAAATCACAGTAGCAGTGGTTTGTTCTGTGGACAATCTGAAAACATACAACTTAAGGGGGCTGATAATATTGACCTTTAAATAGTAAAAAATAAAACTTAAATCTATTTTTATTCCAGCCGAAATAAATCAAATAAGACTTTCACTAGAAAAAAGAATATCTGTGAAAAATGTCTTGCTCCATTAAATACCGCTTAAGAAATATTTGAAAAAGGAAAAGGGGCTAATCATTTTACCCTCAACTGTGTATGTATTTGTGTGTAATAATACTCAATATTCATTCCATAGTTCATTTTCTTGTGATGCAGTACAGAAGGGCTTTCTGACAGACATGGAGAGCTCTGTTGATCAGGTTCGCTGGGGGTCTTCAGAAGTGATGCCCACCTACACGTCTGACTCTAGTTTCCTGCTCCACGGTGAGGAGGCGTCAATATTCCCCTGCACAGATGCAGATCACAGCGGCCTGCCATCTCTATTCAGCAGCCCTGTCCACAGCCGGCCGACTGCAGCCTTCCAGCACAGCCCAGGTCAGTCACACACACACTCGTCCAGCTATCCTTATGGGGACTTTCCATAGACCTAATGATTTTCATACTGTATGTTCTATCCCCCTACCCCTAAACCCGTTGTTGCTAGAAGGGATACAGCTGTGGATGGAAGTTCATTAATTCATTAATTTTCCTTCGGCTTAGTTCCTTATTTATTAGGGGTCGCCACAGCGGAATGAACCGCCAACTATTCCAGCATATGTTTAGTGGATGCTCTTCCAGCCGCAACCCAGTACTAGGGAACACCCATATACTCTTGCATTCACACACATACTACGGCCAATTTAGTTTATCCAATTCACCTATAGCGCATGCCTTTGGATTGTGGGGGAAACCAGAGCACCCAGATTTTATTGAGTTAATGTGAACTAACAATGAATAACTGTATTTTTATTAACTAATACTTTAATAAATGCATTGTTTATTGTTTGTTCTCGTTAGTAAATGCATAAACTAACATTAACTAATGCAACCTTATTGTAAAGTGTTACTGAACTTTTAATATCCCTGATTTCACTTCCTTTCTCCTCTCCTTCTCCCTCAGTGTATCCCATTTACTCGTCTCCATTCCTGGGAAATCTGTCCTGGCTGGAAGGTTCAAGCGGCTCCTCTCTAACCAACTATTTCCCATCATCCCCATCATCCTGGCACAGCAGTGCGTTTTCCAAAGCGTCCTCATCCTCCTTCAGCAGCTCTTCTGCCCGGCCGGAGCAGAAGGAGAGCGTGAAAGGAGAGCGCTCAAGTCCTCCTGGAGGTGGACTGTTTCCTCTAAATTCATCGCTGAGCGGTGTGTATCCGCATTCACACTCCACAAAAACACACTACAGCCCCTATGGAGGACACACGCAAGATTACAGCAGCTCGCTTCTCTACGCACCCGCAACCTTCACACCCAAACTCTGCAGCAAGATGAACTTCTCCCCTTTAGGTGAGGAGATGGTGGATTTGGTGGATAATGAGGTTACACTATTCATTCATGGTGTCATACATGAACTACAGCATGATTAAAGTGCATAATGTTTTGCAAGTTATTTTTTAAGATTCTAGTAAGCAGTTTAAATTAAATTTAAAGTGTTAATTAAGTTAAATAGGCAGGTCAGGTTAATTTGCAGTTACAAGGCAAGTAAAAATAAAAAGACAGAATATAAAAACATAAGAATAAGGCAAGAGAAACGTCTGTAAAAATGTAAAAAAAATTAGCGGTAGAACGAACTATTAAAATAATTTTAAAAAGCCAAAGGTACATTTTCATTTACATTTAGTCATTTAGCAGACACTTGATGAGGACACACCTATAAGAGTGCAGTTTTATAGAATAGCCATAAAGGTAATGTTAATAAACTTTTTTCTTTCGAGTGCCTTGGACATATAATTTTGCTGTTTATCTTAACATTAAATAATTCAATTCAATTCAGCTTTATTTGTATAGCGCTTTTACAATGTAGATTGTGTCAAAGCAGCTTCACATAAATGGTCATAGTAACTGGAACAGTGTGGTTCAGTAACTGGAACAGTGTGGTTCAGGTTTTAGTGTTTAAGTTCAGTTCAGTTCAGTTTAGCTCAGTTCAGTGTGATTTAATCATTACTGAGAGTTCAAACACTGAAGAGCAAATTCATCAATGCGTAGCTCTACCAATCCTGAACCATGCGAGGCAGTGGCGACAGCGGAGAGGGAAAAAAAAACTTCACCTGATGGGAGTGAAGAAAAAAAACCTTGAGAGAACCAGACTCAGTTGGGCGCGACCATTTTAATTTCTCCGCTGGCTGAGCTTCATTTGCCGTGGTTTATGCTGGAAGATGGCCTCAATGAAGACTCGTCTGTCCCTGGAGCGTCGCTGGAATCAGACACATGTTCTCCACTCCCCACGACCATCAGCGCAGCAGCAGCTCAGGATATGGCCTGGTCCCGGATTTGGAATCCTTGGGATCATTACGTCGCTGGTCTTGGATCCAATCAGTGACTCCGCCTAATCTGAGGACCTCGGGATGAGTATCCCCAGGTGAAAATAGAGAATAAAGAGATTAATTAGCGTAGCTGCTGTTCATAGTGTATAAGCAAGATGCAGAAGCCAGTGTGGAACCCGCTAGGTGATGCATTGAGTGTATGCTTTACTAAACAGATAGGTCTTTAATCTAGTTTTGAACTGGGAGAGTGTGTCTGAGCCTCGGACGTTATCAGGAAGGCTATTCCAGAGTGTAGGAGCCATGAAAGAGAAGGCTCGACCTCCTTTACTTGATTTTGCTATTTCAGGTAATTACCCCTGAAGCACTTTTTTTTTATTTTAAAACATTTTTATAGTTCATTAAAAAAATTCTGTTAATTTGCTAAATTACTTTTATATAGTAAAAAAAAAATTATATATGAATTGGTCACAGTGTCATACACATACACAATACAAAAACACACTACGAGAACAAATGTGATATTAATATACAATTATAAATGTGACTTTAACAACATAAGATAAAAACATAAACCCTAATGTACATAACAGATAAGACAAAAACAGAGAAACGTCTATTTAATTCTAATAGCCTTAAATGTGGGAAACGATTCTGGAAATTTAAGTTTATGATATTATTATTTTTTGCTTCAACACATCTATTTTTCTAAAATTACATGAAATTTTCCATTAGATCTCCTGCAGTTTTCACAGTATAGATTAAGAAACCCTACAGCTTTTTTTCCTGTTGCATTTTTATAGTCAAACCTGTGTGCAATCTTTAAAATGAATGTGATTCTTTGATTTTACATTTCAGGTCTTTCAAATCAGCTGATTGATTTCTAAAATATTTAAATCCATCTTTGAGCTTTATGATTAGAAACCTTATACAATTGAAGTCAGAGTTTTTTGCCCTCCTGTGAATCTTTTTCTTTATTTTTCAAATATTTCCCAAGTGATGTTTAAAGAGCAAGGATTTTTCACAGTTTTTCCTATAATATTTTTTCTTTGTCTTATTTGTTTTATTTCAGCTGGAATAAAAGCGGTTTTTAATTTTTTTAAATCCATTTTAGTGTCAATATTATTAACTTCCTTAAGCAATATTTATTTGATCGTCTACATAACAAACTATCTACATATATGACTTGCCTAATTATCTTAACCTTTCTAATAAACCTAGTTAAGCCTTTTTTATTAACAATAACCAGCATGTACAGTTTTCTAATACAACAAAATCACTTTACATGTATTAACAAGAATAGAATAAATGAAAAAAAAAGAAAAAAAAAGAAATTAAATAAAAAAAAACACAGAAGAGAGGAAACATAATTATCAAATTACATACAAATATATTACACACATTTTTCCAATTTTATTTATTAACAAGTTATTAAATGCACTTTTACTACAGGAAATGCATATGTACAAACATTTTTATGCAAAAAAAAAATGTTAAAGGAGGAGCATATATTAACTGTTTTAATAGCTTTTCAATTTTTTGACTTGGTAACATCTTTTATATACATTTGAATCTCTTGTTCTAGCATCATGAAGAGAGGTTTGCTTTTGGCAAACTTAGATTTATGTATGTGAAATTTACATAATAATATAATAAAGTCTATGATAAAACCAGCATCTTTTAAAGAGTGATCTTTAACATAATGACTCAAAATCACATGTTTATAAGATAAGGAAAATGATTTTAAAATATTATGAGCAATAAAAGCTTCACCGTAATCCAAACATGTCAAGTACATTGGCAAGACCAAAATAAATGTGAAATAGTTTCATTAAAGCTTTCACCAAAGCTATATTCTTACTCAATATCAATTTTAAATTTTCGTAGAAATATTTTTGTTGGATAAACTCTATGAAGTAATGTAAATCATATTTCTTTAGCCTTATTTGTAAAAAAAAAAAGTTGAGGTGACGACCATAATTGAGTCCAGTTTACATCATTAAAGATATTGTTCCAGTAAAAAACGACATGCGGTATAGACATATTTTTCTTTTAATAAAAATTTCTTTTTATTAAAGATCTAATTTTGTGATTATAAGGCTTAAATCTCGACAAACCTAGTGAAGCCTTTAAATTTAAGCTAAATGCTAGTGTCTTAAAATGATCTAGTAAAATATTATGTACTGTCATCGTGACAAAGATAAAAGAAATGAGTTATTAAACTGTTATGTTTAGAATTGTGTTAAAGTTTTTCTCTCCGTTTTTGGTTAAAAATATACAGGGGGACTAATAAATCAGGAGGGCTAATAATTCTGACTTCAATTGTATGTAACAGCACAATTGTATAGTTCTGATGATTTTGGATAACGATAATTCAAACATTTTTTGTGGTGTCAGATGCACGTGAGTGTGTGAACTGTGGGGCCACTGCCACCCCTCTGTGGCGGCGTGATGGAACAGGCCACTACCTCTGCAATGCCTGCGGACTGTACCATAAGATGAACGGACAGAACAGACCCCTCATCCGACCCAAAAAGAGACCGGTACACCTTACAGATACTCACTTCTCTCATACTCTTGCAATTGAAAGTAAATGTCTTCTATGTAAACACAATATAATTTTACAATATTATTTATTCCACTAATTCAATGCTAAGTTTTCAGCATCATTACTCCAGTCTTCAATCTCGCATGATCATGATGATTCTAATGTGTTAATATGCATTTTCACAATAACTTTTTATTTGAATTATAAGTTTATAAATGTTTTTATTAACACTTTTTATTAGTTTATTGCATCCTTGCTGAACAATAGTAGTCATACTTTATGTTATGGTACAATTCTCGATATCAACAAACCATTAAAGGTCTCATGAAATTAAAATAACGTTTTTTAGAAGTTAGTATCGTTTGTTTTTAGGAAATCTATAAGCTAGTGTGCACCAAAACAGTGACAAGTTCACTTTTAGGAGAAATAAAGCTGATATAAACATGTAAAGTTTGTAGTTTGTCACTTCCCCCTAAATGGATCAGCGGTTTATTTACATCACATTATACTTCAGTTTCTCATCAAATCTTGACCAATGAAATGCTCTCTAGTATCCGAGATGCCCCGCCCCCTTTAAGATGCATGTAATTTGTTTTTCATTTGATGCGCTTGAGCTCAAGCATTCTCACTGGCAGAGCTGTGAGAAAAACAAAACGTTATTGGCTGTTTATTTTTAAAGGGGAGGAGCTACTCTATGTCCTGCCCTCTCTTCATGTTTCAGTTGAGATTGTGTCAAGCATCAAATAAAAATGTCCGTTTCAAAGCACTTAACGCCACATTTAACCAAGATTTTGCCTTAATAAAGTTCTAATGTGCTGGTGATTAATAGTTAGTGGTTGGGTTTATGCTTTGGGTAGGATTAGGGAAATATAATAAGATCATGCAGAATATGCACTTTATAATTACTTATAAACAGCCAATATCTTAATAATAGGCAGGTGTAGTTAATAGTAAGCAGTAGTCCTTAAACTAAAGTGTTACATACATGTTGAAAATGGAAATAAGTGTGTTCAGAAAGAACTGGGAAAAGTGGTTGATGTACAAGGAAAATAGAGACATCCCCAACTAAGTAAGCTGTAATTGTCACAGGAATGGTAACATCACCTGTTTGTCGTTGTTGTTATACATGCTAAATGTAACTTTATTTACTAGATATTTTTATTTTTTGCATTATTGTATGCACTGAGATGAATAAACACTCACCGGCCACTTTATTAGGTTCATTTACTAGTACCGGGTTGGACCCCCTCTTGCCTTCAGAACTGCCTTATTCCTATGTGGCATAGTAAAGGTATTGGAAATATTCCTCAGAGAATTTGGTTCATATTGACATGATAGCATCACGCAGTTGCTGCAGTTTGTCGGCTGCACATCCATGATGCAAATCTCTCATTCCACCACATCCCAAAGGGCTCTATTGGATTGAGGCTGGTGACTGTGGAGGCCATTTGAGTACAGTAAACTCATTGTCATGTTCAAGAAACCAGTCTGAGATGATTTGCGCTTTATGACATGGCGCATTATCCTTCAGGAAGTAGCCATCAGAAGTATGGTACACTGTGGTCATAAAGGGATGGACATGGTCAGCAACAATACTCAGGTTGGCTGTGGTGTTGACACCATGCTCAATTGGTACTAATGAGCCCAAAGTGTGCAAAGAAAATAACCCTTACACCATAACACCATCACCACCAGCCTGAACCGTTGATACAAGGCGGGATGGATCCATGCTTTTACGCTGTTGACGCCAAATTCTGACCATACCATTTGAATGTTGAAGCCGAAATCGAGACTCATCATTTCCAATTTTGGTGAGCCTGTGTAAATTTTAGCCTCAGTTTCCTGTTTCCTACAGGCGTACCTAATAATGTGGTCAGTGAGTATATGTATATATGTATGGTTGTGTGTTTGTGTATGTGTGTGTGTGTGTGTGTGTGTATGTATATATATTAATCGCGAAAACAGGCGCACTTCCGCATTTTAGAATAAGGTCAATATATATGATATGAAGGTATAATGTATCTATTATAGTGGAGTAGAGTATATAATTTAAATCTGACATGCATATGTACAATATATTTTTTTTTATTGCTGTAATTTGCATTGTTAAAATTGTATACAAAATTATAAAACAAAAACAACAAAACTATAGTGTTACTGTAAAATCATATTTTTTTTTAATCTGTTTTCTGCAGGTGGTCAGTAAGCGAATAGGAACTCAGTGTGCGAACTGTCAGACCAGTACAACCACACTGTGGAGACGTAACTCCAGCGGGGAGCCTGTCTGCAATGCTTGCGGACTCTACTTCAAGCTTCACAATGTGAGCAACTGCACTGTTTCATTTGATTATTGTGCTTTACAATTCCATCGCCTTATTGGCTAATCAAGTAAAAGCTAAGGTCTATCATTTTAATGTAAAAAGTTCTCCAATTTATCCTCATAACTGAAACTAAACTTTTTGCTCTGTGAATATATAGTGTGTATGAATCTAGGTGTACTACTTTCACCATACTGACATTATAATGCAACCGGAGTCACTTAAAGGGATACTTCACCCAAAAATGGGATAGTAAAAGGTATAGTTCAGCCTAGAATGAAAATTCTGCTATCATTAACTCATTATTCACTCATTATTCAACCTATTTGAGTTTCTTTTTTCTGTTGAACACAAAATAAGTTATTTTGAAAATGTTGGAAACCTGTAACCATTCACTTCCATAGTAGAAAAAAAAACTAATTCTATGAAAGTCAATAGTTACAGGTTTTAAAAATTTTTCAAAATATATTTTTTGAACAGAAGATCAATAATTCACTTGTCACAAAGCTGTATGAGTTTTTTTTTTGTTGAACACAAAATAACATATTTTGAAAAATGCTGAAAACCTGTAACCATTGACTTCCATAGTATTTGTTTTTTCTACTATAGAAGTCAATGGTTACACGTTTCTAACATTTTCAAAATAACTTATTTTGTGTTCAACAGAAAAAAAAGAAAAATGTTTGTGAAAAGTAAAGGATTGGTAAGTGATGGCAGATTTTTGATTTTTGGGTGAACTATACTTTTAAAGGGGATAGTTCACCCAAAAATCTAAATTTCCTCACCATTTATTCAACCTCATAAGTTTCTTTCTTCTGTAGAACACCAAGCAAGATATTCTGAAGAAGGTTGAAAAACAAAACAGCCAATGGCATCCATAGCAAGAACAAAAATTTTTTACGGATATCAATGGCTGTTGATTTCCAACATTCTTTGAAATATCTTCTTTTGTGTTCTTCAGAAGAAAGAAACTGTATGCAACAAATGGATTGTGAGTAAATTATGGCAGAATAACAAATTTATTATTATATTAAAATGTCCATCATGTGCACACTTCAGAATCTCACCCACAAAGCTTTGCTTTTTTCCGAATTCACAGTTCTTTGGTCACATACTCTTTTTGCATATTACACGATTGGGAATTACGCAGCTTTGCATGCAGTGCTTGAACTCCATCACAAATGCCATTGGCAGAAACTACACATGAGTTTTTGTTTCCAGGTTGAACACTAAAACAGACTTATACAGAATTCAGAAACCCTTGTTATTAGTGAAAGCGGTCGCCATGCAAACTGCACCAAGCAAATTATTGCACATAACACACAGTTGAAGATCAAATTATTAGCCCTCCAGGGAGATTTTTGTTCTTTTATTTAAATCTTTTATTCTTTCTTTTTTCTTTCTTTCTTTAAATCTTTTCAGAGTGATGTTTATCAGAGCAATGAAATTTTCACAGTATTTCCTATTATATGTTTTCCTCTGGAGAAAGTCTTATTCCTTTTAGTTTTCGCTGGAATATCTATATTTTAAATGTAAAATATGCTTAGGTCATAAATATTAGCCACATGATTCCCCCCTGATCAGCTACAAAACAAATCAATATTGTCCAATTATTTGCCTAATTAACCTAGTAAGCCTTTATATTGCACTTTGAGCTAAATACTAGTATCTTAAAAAATAACTAGTAAAATATTATGTACTGTTATCATGGCAAATACAAAATTAATTATTCATTCATTCATTCATTCATTCATTCATTCATTCACTCTCATTCGACTTAGTCTCTTAATTCATCAGGGGTTGCCACAGTGCATTGAATTGCCAACTTATCTGGTATATTTTTTACACAGCGGATGCCCTTCCAGCTGCAACCCAGTACTGGGAAACATCCATAAACATTCATTCACACACTGCGTCCTATTTAGTTTGTTCAATTCACATATACCTCATGTCATTGGGCTGTGGGGGAAACCGGAGCACCTGGAGGAAATCCACGCCAACACGGGGAGAACATGCAAACTATACACAGAAATGCCAACTGGTCCAGCCGGGACTCAAACCAGTGACCTTCTTGCTGTGATGCCACTGTGTCTCCCCCAAAATACATTAATGAGTTATTACAACTATTATGTTTAAAAAGATATCCGAAATATCTCTGTTAAAGAGCCCTTGGAAAATGAACAAAAAAAAGTTGAAGGTTTATAGGTTTTAGAAATTATCTTGAAAATTACTAGCATGTTCTTCAGCAAAAAACAAATGATAAGAGACTCTTGGCAGATAAACATCACATACTTTACATTTTCTTGGCAGAACACTCTTGTTTGTGTTGCAGTTGCGCCATTACTTGATTTGCATAACAACAAAATGTGAATCAGCTGCAAAGACAACAATAAAACATTCAATACAATTCCACTTTTCAGGCCATTTCAACATAAAAAATTCTGACTTTCTCAACAGCATGAGGTCATTTTTTTCCCCCAACCGTTTTAGGCTGGTTTGTACAGAGACCCGGAAGGGACGTGATGGTGGGGTAAAAAGTGGGTGGAAAAAAAAACTGAGTGTGAGAAAAAAAAATCATATCATTATGTATTTTCCCATATTTCTCGTGTATTTTAATCTTCAAAGCACTTTGAAATGAATATAAAAATGTCTGCATTCCTTTTCTTTCCATTAAAGCTGAGCGTCGATCATCGCCCTTCATATGCAACCTCTGAATCAGCCAATGCATGTTTAGTTTTTTTTTTTTTTTGTTTAGTTTATTTGTTTACAGGGTCAATGCACATTAATAAACATTACTGTAAAATGTGCCAGAATTAGCCAAGAATGGCTGTTTTTCATCTGTAGACCCTTTGCAGAATGTTAAAAAGCCTAATAGAAGCACAGCATTAAACATTAAATACACTTTCATATATTAAATACAGTTAAAAAAGTAAAAAAAAAAAACCCAAAACAGACTGATGGCAGCAGAAGAGGACAAAAAGCCAAAGACAACAGTACAAATGTGTCAATAATACATTACTAATGCTGACAATGCTGATTTGCTAATAACCAATTTTTAACATGAGATTGAAAAGAATGAAAAGTGAGAAATGTATATGGACGTGCTCCGTATGATCAACTTATCCCTGCAAATCTATTTTTACAGATTCAGCAGATCTCTGGGTCTGGCAATTTTTTTTAACAAGAGGCTAATGGTCTAATCCAACTCAATGATCAATGCCAAGCTAAAATTGCTCCTACCAGACTCAGAGTTCGGCTAAATGGATTAAAAAATAGTAAAACTCAAATTTTTAACTCTAAGGGAGTTGTAAAATTAGCCTATTTTCAAAAAAGTAAAAAAAAAAAGTTAAAGTAAATTAAAGTAAATTACAGTCACAATTATTCACCCTCCTGTGAATTTTCTTTTCTTTTCATTTCAAATATTTCCCAAATGATGTTTAACACAGCAAGGAATTTTCACAGTATTTCCTATATGTTTTTTTCTTCTGGAGAAAGTCTTACTTGTTACATTTTGGCAAGAATAAAAGCAACTTTTAATTTATTATACATTTTTTTTAAACCACTTTAAAGTCAATATTATTAGTGTCAGGGTATGGGGGTGGATGGAGAGGAGGCGAGGACCCAAATGCAGCAAATGAAGGATTTATTAAGAAATAAAACAAAAACAAAACTCAAATCTCCCCATGTGGGAAAAACACGACATCATACTACACACTCAACTAGACTTGATCTGGATCTTGGCATGACAGACTACTTTAAACCACTGTTGTAGAACAGATATCAACTGACCTCATACAACAGAGAACGCGATGCTGACAGAACAACACAATCACGAGTACAAGAGTGCGCTCGTCAGAGGCTAACAGAGCCCGCGCGGCCGCATCAAGCGGGAGTGCGCACGCTCTGCGCACACCCACGACGGCGCGTGCTCACACAGAGACACACACAATAACAGTAACAGGACAAAACAGGGCTAGTGTCCGGATTCCACCTCCAAAACAAGAATTCACAAGACCAGAGTGGCAGAACCCTGACAATTAGCCTCTTACGCTGTTTTTTATTTGATTGTCTATAGATCAAACCATCATTATAAAACGATTTGCCTAATTACCCTAACTTGCCTGATTAAGCCTTTAAATGTCACTTTAGCTGAATACCAGTATCTTAAAAATGATCTAGTAAAATATTATGTACTGTTTTCTAGTGATGGGTTGCAGCTAGAAGGGCATTCGCTGCGTAAAACATATGCTGGATAAGTTGGTGGTTCATTCCACTGTGGCGACCCTAGATTAATAAAGGGACTAAGCCAAAAAGAAAATGAATGAATTAATATTATTTACTGTCACAGTGGCAAGGATAAAATAAATCAGTTATTAGAGATGAGTTACTAAAACTATTATGTGTAGAAATGTGAAGTTGGGGGAAAAATTTACAGGTGGGCTAATAATTTAGGAGATCTAATAATTCTGACTTCAACCGTACAATCAATTACCAAGCAGCTCTGTCTTTAAAAATGCATCAGTCATGTAAAAAACAATTACTCAATAGAGAAAATGTTCACTTCTGGAAGCGACTAGAAGCTTTTTTAGCACTCTTGAAGTTTTGTCTGACAGTTTCAGTGGATTTCTTCAGGTGAACCGACCGCTGGCTATGAAGAAGGAAGGCATTCAGACGCGCAACCGCAAAGTGTCCAGCAAGAATAGGAAAGGGAAGAAGTTCAGCACCATGGAGGAGAATCTGTATTGTGATTTTCCCAAGACTCCTGCGTGTGATCAGCATTTTGACATGTATTCTCAGAGTCCAGCAGCTTTGGGGGTTTACAGTCATTCTGGGCAATCCACTGCCTATCTGCCTTACCCATACCACTCCTCACCGGCTGTCCTGCCCAGCACTGTGTGACTGAAACTGACCAGAGACCAGGGGCCTCATGTACGAAGACTTGCGTGGAAATCTTACTAAAACATTGCGTACGCACAAAGCTGTAAATGTGCGTACGCAGAAAAAAATTCAGATGTATGAAACACTGCGTACGCCGAATCTCACGCATATTCTTTTGTACATCTGAATGAACGTGAAACTGAGCGCAACATGCACGAGCACAAAACCCCTCCCTGCCTCCTCCCCCGTATGAATATGCTAATGACTATGCTAATGGAAAAACCCAACGAAAAAGCAATGTCAAAAGCAAGCAAAAAGAGTGTGAATTGGAGGTGCTGCTTTCGGAGGTAGACCGGAGAAAAGCGGTGTTATTTGCAAGTTTGTTCTCCGGAATTAACAACAAAAGAAAAAAATAGAGTGGGAGAGTTTAGCTGATACGGTTAACACAGTTGGGTCTGAACATCGCACTGAGTGCATTTAAAAAAGAAATAGTGTGGTTTATAACTGAAAAATGTTGCAGTACCCTTAGCAGTCTCAGTGGCGCACCTCATAAAAAGCATGTGATCATATACTGACATGTTCGAGCATAAACTCGGCTCGAATCCAGCGTCTAATAAATTCTTTCTTTTTTTCCCCGCTACATATCAGATTTTGCCCACTATTTATCAAGAGAAAGACAAGTAGGAATCATCAATAAGTTTGTGCATCATATTTTATATGCACATTTATTGAATGGAAATGTTTCTGATTCACGCATGCAAATTCATCTTCAGATAGTGTCTTTATAGCAATGTGCGTGCAGTAGATAGCTCAGATTACATTGGGAAAACAGGCGACTGCTGCAAATTGTGCTTTAATGTTTAGCTGCTCAACTGTATGGTATGGAAATCTTACATACCTACTATATGAACCCGTCTCATACAGCTGCCATTGCAAGGCTCAGACACTTTGTAGAGAGGAATTTAACACAACTGCCTCTAGGAGTCGCCAATGGAAATAAAACAGACACGCACAAAAAATGTGCGTACGCCTGCCAGAAAGCTGCCGTGAACCTGCGCAAATTCCCACGTTCAGTTCATTGTTAGTAAATCCAAACGTGAGCGATTCTGAGCGTGAAACTTGGCGTACGCAAAGTTTTTGTGCGTACGCAGCGTTGATACATGAGGCCCCAGGAGTTTGTGGAAGACACTTAATGCAGTGACATTCAGACTTACAGCAATGGAAACATAAAAACTGGAAAAAGTGATTAGCTACAGTTGAAGTCAAAATTATTAGCCCCCCTGTTTATTATTTTTCCCATAATAATAATAATAATATTGACCTTAAAAAAAAATAAATAAAAAAAAAACTATTTTTAGTAAAAAAAAAGACTTTCTCCAAAGGTAAAACTAATATAGGAAATACTGTGAGAAATTTCCTGCTCTGTTAAACATTGTTCGGGAATTATTTGACAGAAAAAATAAGTCACAGAAGGGTTAATAATTTTGACTTCAACTGTACTTTACTTTAAAAAAAGTAAGTAAACGCTCCAGTTTTTGTAATTAGGCTAAATTTAAAGCTCCCTCAGAATTAAAAGGTTGATTTAAAAAAAATTTTTTGTATCCATGGAACTATCTTTGTGTCTAGTGTGAGCACTTTTAGCTTAGCTTAGCATAGATTATTGAATTGAATTAGACCATTAGCATTTTGCTCAAAAAAATCAAAACAAATTTGCTTCTGCTTGGTAAAACTCTAAGAGAGTTATAAAATTAGTCTATTTCCTAAACAATGGAGTGTTCCTTTAAAAGTGATGTTTAGTTAACTTTTTAATTATGCGCATATTTTATTTACCTCATTTTAAGGCAACAGGGTTACTCACTTTTTTAAGTAAAGTCATGTTTACACCAATTCAAAATTCCATTGAAATGATTTTGCTTTGCTTTTTAAGAAGTTGAATTTTATTACTTTTTGCATCCATTCAGCTAATCTTTGTGTCTGGTGTGAGCACTTTTAGCTTAGCTTAGCATAGGTCATTGAATTGGATTAGACCATTAGCGTCTTCTCAACAAAAATAAAAAAAGAGTTGCATCTGCTTGGTAAAACTCAACTTTTTAAATCTAAGGGTGTTGGAAAATTAGCATATTTGCTAAAAAAGGGAGTGTTCCTTTAAAAGTCACATATTTAGTTTACTTTTTAATTATGCACATATTTTATTTACCTAAATTTAAGGCAACAGGTTTACTCACTTAAAAAAAAAAAAAATGTTGCTTCTGCTTGGTAAAACTTGGTTTAACTTAGTAGTAGTTTTAAAATTAGCCTACTTCACAAAAAATTGACTGTTCCTTTAAACGTGACTTGTTTATTTTACTCTTTAAATATGCGCATATGTTATTTTCCTAATTTTAAGGCAACCGGTTTAATCGCTTTTTTAAGTCAAGTTTTCGCCACATGAAAATTCCATGGAAATTATTTTATTTTGTAAAGAGTAGAGTTTTTTGTCTTTAATCTATTCAGCCGATCTCCAGGTCTGGTGTGAGCACTTTTAGTGCTTTTAGAGTTGCTTGTTTTGGTAAAATTCGACTTTTTATGTCTAAGGAAGTTGAAAAATTTCCTTATTTTCCCCAAATATTGAGAGTTCCTTTAAAAGCGACGTGTTTAGTTTACTTTTTAATTATGCACATATTTTATTTACCTAATTTTATTTACACCACTCAAACATTCCATGGAAATTATCTTGTTTTATTTTGTAAAGAATTGAGTTTAATCACTTTTTGTGTTCATTCAGCAAATCTGGTGAGAGCACTTTTAGCTTAGCTTAGCATAAATAATTGAATCGGATTAGACCATTAGCATCTTGTTCAAAACATAAAAAAAGAGTTGCTTCTGCTTGGTAAAACTCAACTTTTTATCTCTGATGGAGTTGCAAAATTGCAGTTGAGTGTTCATTTAAAAGCGATGTGTTTAGTTTACTTTTGATTTATGCGCATATTTAATTTACCTCATTTTAAGGCAACAGGTTTACTCACTTCTTTAAGTTAAGTCAACTATTCGCTTTTTACAGTGAAGAGACCACTTAAAAATTTCTATGAAAATTATGGAAAACATTATTTTGTTTTATTCTGTAAACTACTGTTAATATTTTCAGAAAATACGAAATAATGTGCCATGTTTTCAGGCATGTTTATGTCCACTTTGTATTCAAAACATTGCCAATGTTTTAACTTTAGTAGAAAGCAATATTTGGTGGAATACTTGTCAATCACGGCAAAGGAAAACTTGTTATTCTGACCAATTACAGACATGTTATTACAACTATAGAAAATAAAACCGTTACTTTTACTCAACCCCTTACATCCAGAAAAAAACGAGAATTGTCAAAAACTGATCTCTTTATAAGCTTTGTACCATTTATAAAAATGTAAATTTTTTTCTACAAGAGTGTAAAGACGTAATGTTAGAAAAAGCTATTCCAAAGACTGTGACTGCTTAGTGGTAAGCACTGTCGCCTCACAGCAAGAAGGTCACCGGTTCAAGTCCCAGCTGGGTCATTGGTGTTTCTGTGTGGAGTTTGCATGTTCTTTCTGTGTTTGTGTGGGTTTCCCCCGTGTGCTCCGGCTTCCCTCACAGTCCAAACACATGTGCTAGGCGAATTGAATAAGCTCAATTGATCGTAGTGTATGAGTGTGTATGGATGTTTTTCAGTATTGGGTTGTGACTGGCGGTTCAGCCGCTGTGTAAAACATATGCAAAAATAGTTGGTGGTTCATTCCACTTTGGGATCTCTGAAATAGAGACTAAGCCGAAGGAAATGAATGAATATGGTTTCCTCAAGGGTATTAAGCAGCAGAAATGTCTGAATGATCATGGAACAATGCAGCGATGCTGATGATTCAGCTTTACGTCACATTAATGGATTACATTTTAAAATATATTGAAACAGACCACTGATATTTTAAACTGTAACAGTTTTTCACAAATATCTTTTTCTAACCCCTTAGCTGTTACTCTCCTGCCACCGGGACATTTACATTTACATTCATTCATTCATTTTCCTTCAGATTAGTTCTTTATTTATCAGGGGTAGCCACAGCGGAATGAACCGCCAACTTTTCCAGCATATGTTTTACACAGCGGATGCCCTTCCAGCTGCAACCCAGTACTGGAAAACACTCATATACACTTATTTACACTCAAACACTACGGTCAATTTAATTTATCCAATTCACCTATACCGCATGCCTTTGGATTGGACCCACGCCAACATGAGCAGAACATCCAAACTCCACACAGAAATTCCAACCAGTGACTTTTCTGCTGTAAGGTGACAGTGCTTACTACTGAGCCACCGTGTCGGCCAAATTTATATTACTTTTATTATTAAAACATAATCAAATCATGACAAACTGTAAGTCGTTGGAAAAGTTTAAGACTTCTGAATACATTTTTTGTTTTTAGTTAAGTAGGAAGAGTAATGGTTTAGAAAAACATTAGTCACCCTACAACCAGTATCTAAAAGCATCTTTACACAGCAAAGGTGACACAGAAACCAAACCTGAAGCTGCATAAGTTTTCAAAAATGTAAATAAATCATTTAATGCAGCAAATCGCCTACAAAATACACCCTCAGAAACAAAGGTACGAGAGTTGTCACGGGGGTGGTACCTTTTTAAAAGGTACACATTTGTACTTAAAAGGTCCATATTAACACCTCAAGGGTACATATTAGTACCTAAAAAGTACAAAAGTGTTCCTCTTAAAATGTTTAGGTACTAATATATACGTTTGAGGTACCAGTAAGGACCCTTTTAGTACAAATGTGCACCTATAGAAAAGCTACCACCCCAGTGACAGCTCTCCTACCTTGATTTCTGAGAGTGTATGAGCAATTATATTTTTGTATTCATTATTATTTTTTTTTATCTATGAGCAATTCTGAGCAGACACAGACCCATTTTGGTCCACCTTAAATTTGTGTAAAGATGACTTCATCCATTTTTGTAGGTAAGCATAAAAAAACGTCTTTCAAGTGAACTTAATTGTTGATACTGTACACATATCATGCAGTTTGTAATCCCATTGTTGTAATCACTTTGTTTTTGATGCATTTGCAGTCTTTGAATGTTTTTAAAGTATTTTATATATGTAAAAAATCATGTGGTTTACAA